TTATTAATCATCCTTCAGACAAGCGCTTTCAATTTTTTTTGACACAACTTTCGCGAGGTGATTTGCGAACTACGATTTCTCTAGTCATCGCTATACATCAACGTAAATATTCGTTCATATACACGCCCAGAGATTACTTTCAGAGAAATAAGCGGATTTACAATACATCATACGATATTGCCCATAATAAGCAATATAACATCATTAAAGCACGCAGAATATTTAATTATACGCGTAAGCGCGACAAGTAAGTTTATTTTACTTTAGCGAGAAGTTTTATTTGACTCGTTGCATCACACAGAGACATTACAACTGTTAATACTTCAGACTTCACTATTTATTAATCATCTGTCAGGTTCTGCTTCATTAGTGTCGTCATGAGACGATCGTGATTAATCAAATAACACCAAGATTATAATCTCCGGATTCCATAATTTCGAAAAATCACTTTTTCATTCAAACCCCACGGAGAAAACGTATATATGTTGGATAACACTTTGCATCTTAAATATGACAAAGATAGGATCTGTGCTATTAAAAGTGAGTGAATCGATGTTTAGAGAAGCGCGAAGCTTCGCTATTAAAAGATTATGTTATAAAGTTTCGTAAGCTATAAAATATAAGATGCTACGTGTCAGGAAGTGAAACGGGTACGACCAATATATTGAAATGTCAATTGTTGAAGACATCGTAATTTCCATAGAAAACGAATTTCACCCTCCTCCACGGGGGTCGATGATGAATGATTTACGAGGGGGCGGCGCGCAAATGGTATGTTGCGAATCGCGCAACGAGGGACCTTTTCTACCTCAGTAAGGCATCGCTCGCGGGGTTACCACCTTAAATTCCAGTTAAGGACGCGCGATATTAAATTCCAGATAAACCTGTCCATCGCGTGAAATGTCTATAATACATTGACATCGAGATTATGCAACAGACGAATGCAAATAATATAGTTTGGATAATAAACACATAAACTTGGAATCCATACGTTTTTGTGAAAAGCTCTTGTGAAGAGCGATGTCTGAGTTACACTTGCAAATTTCATCCACTAATTTTTCCGTATCTAAAAACAGAGAACAAAATTTGATGATTGTATCAACCTGATACATTTTCAAATTTAAAGACTTGTTTAAAATACTTTTTAAATATAATAAAAGATATGATTTATGTTTTGCAGAATGAAGAAAAAAAAGAAATTAATTCTGATTATGACAACACACTGGACCTCGATTTCTGATTCACAAGCGACCGAGAGATTCGCAATTAATTGTTGATCGAACCATTCAGGGCCCACTAAAATTGATAAATACGTGCGTGACACTGTTTACCATTAATGAATCACTGATATTCATCTTATCGCGTTCTTTATGCTTTTAACGTGCATTAATGCAAGGCCGCGATGGTGTATATTCAATAACGTATATCCCCGAGGGCGCAGGATCGGCCTATCATTTAAATGCATGTTAGACGCCGTTGTTTGCCGCAATAAAGTACTCGAGATCGATTTAGTGGGACTCAGAGAGATACAGAGAGAGAGAGAGAGAGAGAGAGAGAG